GGATGGAGGGATGGAGGGATGGAGGGATGGAGGGATGGAGGGATGGAGCGAGGGAGGGAGGGAGGGAGGGAGGGGAGGGAGGGAGGGAGGGAGGGAGGGAGGGAGTTCCAGTATATATATATATGTACATATAGTATATGATTCATTCAAGCAATCAAGGCAATTGGATTCAAATACAGCTGACGAAATGAAGTCACGCAGCATTCACGTATCCTGGCCTCCACTGATCCACTGTCTTCAAGGCGAAAGCAGAGCTTGAGACCCAGGCCTGCACACTCGCTTCAACCAGAAACACTGACAGTAAAAGCAGCGTGTTTGGTCTTTTTCCCATGCAAAAAGGTTTACAGCTTTGGATCCAAGGCCTGTTCCACAACCTGAGCCAGGTCCTGGTCAACCTAGGACTTGAAAGTTACAGACTTGTTCCTCCAATCAAACCTTTGGTCCTTTGGTATGATATGTGATATGTAGGTTCCTAGCAGGCCGGAAGCAATGAGGCACACCTGGTGATACATGTTCATCGTGGCAACACCTGCGCATGCCGAAGGTCTCTTGAAGTAGAGGTGTGAGATGGCTGGACGGTTCTAAATGACCTGTTGTGATATGTGAAGAGGTTGACGGAGTTGACGCATAATTCGTTCTTGGAATGATTCGCTGCTGCGGAGCCTGACGAGCTTGTACGCCACCGTGGCAGAGAAGCCAAAATACCACCTTGCATTGCATAAAGGACGAATCAGTGACACTTTCACAAGACTGTTCAAGTAACTAAAAGAGCTGCTCGGTTGAAAAGAACACAAGTCACACAGCTGTTCAAACATTTGGCTCCAGCCACAAAGGTAAAGATGCAGCGCCATAGCCCGATAGCAGCCAGCAACTGAAACCTGCAAGTGACTCCCAAAACCACTCCATCAATGGTGGTGGCGGTGGTGGTGGTGGCCTTGGATAATCTGTGAGAGCCATATACGTGTTTTGCAAATTTGTTGACTGGCAGGTCAAGGAAGCTGGAAATACCAGGAGGTTTCAAATGCTGAACGTGATTCAAGAATGACACTTTCTGCGCACACGTTCTTCCTGTACCAGTTCTAGCTTTAGGTTGCACGCCAGGCTGTTCGAACCGTTGGAGGTCCGGTGAAATTGCGTTTCACACATTTTTGGGGCATGCGGGGGCTTGATAAGATATGACCTAGATCAAAGGGGACTCCTTGGATGGCCGTCCACTATAGACCACTCAAGCTTCAGCGCCTTCAGCCTGATTACTGGTGCTTCATTTGCGGTCGGCCTTGCAGATTGCTATTCCGGCTATTCCAAACATGGCCTTTCCTGTTTGCTGGAAGGCTACCTTCTCTCGAATGAGAAGACAGAGGCACGGGAGTCTGCAACAGCGCCTAAAAAACTAAAATGAGAGGTTGCCAAAGGTTATACAATTCAAGGTCAACGTCGACATGTTGGCATGTGACCATGTTGAGTGAACGGGCCGGTGAAAACATCCCCACGCGGACAAGTCCAGCATGTGAATAGACCAGCAGGTGTACGGGCCAACCTAGATGTTCCGACCCCACGCCGATGCCTGTGTTTCCAGTACTCCGCAAACAGTGTTGCAGCCAGCCCTTATAACTTTGGAAGACAAAGTGTCTGCCAGCAGCCCTCTGTATTGCTGCTAGGCAGCGTCAGCCTTAGCTCCAACACAAGCTCGCCGTAGAAGTTGCAAGCAAGCAGTTTGGTCACACACAGAAGGAGACCCATCACCATTACAGGCTGAAGGTAGCTTGACGGGTGATCGTTTGGTGATTGAAACGCAAGATTGAAGCCTCACTCGACAGGACTAGAGGAGCGGGCTTAGAAGATTATCCCGGCAAGAGACCCCAAGCAGTGTAGAGTGTAGAGTGTATATCAAACGCACTTTCGGCTAAAGGGATGCGCGCAGGGGAGTCGGAAGTAAAGAGAGTAGCACCTGCGAGCACGAAGGAGTAGGAAGTAGAAGGTTAGGCTTGAGCCCGGATAGAGTAGTAGGTGGGTAGAAGGGTATGCCCGACCCCGGATAGAGTAGTAGGAGGAGGTGAAGCACCCGCGAGCACCAAGGGGGAGGAAGTAAAAGTTTCAGGTCTGAAAGTGTCAGAGCTCGGGACAGTGGGCATGGCGCGCGGGACGAAACTGTGTCGCGGAACCGCAGACAGAGTATGTTGCTGCAGGAAACTGCCGCGTAATCGCAGACCAGAGAAAGAAGAGCTGGGTGTAACCACGCCACGCCACGCCAGTCCGTCTCTCGATCTCTTGAAAAGTACCTGGGTGTAACCACACCAGGCGCACAGAAAGAAGAGCTCCACGCCAGTCCAAAAGTACCTGGGTGTAGCCACGCCGGGTGCACCGCAGAAAGAAGAGCTGAGTGTAACCACGCCACGTCAGCGTTAGAAACAAGAGCCTGAAGAAGACGGATGGCTAGATGCCGGGAAAGCGTTTTAGAGAGCGCGCAGATGAGAGCAAGGTCGAGTTGCAGAGGTCCACAGACGTCTAGAGAGCACACATCTGAGAGCACAGTCACCAAAGCACGCATCAAGTGAAAGTGACTGTGCCTCTGAACATAGAGAGGTGCTGTAGGCTTTCGATATCAGGAAAGCGGTGTAGAGAGCACACATGTACAAAGTCTAGAGAGCACACATCTTGCTGCGCCTGCGCCGAGATCTGCACTTCGAGGCAAAGTACTGCACCTGCCCCGAAATCTGCACTTCGAGGTTCACCAAGCGCTGCACCTGCCACGAAATGTGCATTTCGAGGTTCACAAAGCGCTGTGCCTGCCATGAAATCTGCACTTCGAGGTTCACCAAGCGCTGTGCCTGCCACGAAATCTGCATTTCGAGGTTCACCAGCTCTGCACTTCGAGGTTCACAAAGTCCTGTATCTGCCCCGAAATCTGCACTTCGAGGTTCACAAAGCGCACATCGAGGTTCACCAAGTGCTGCGCCTGCCATGAAGTCTACACTTTGAGTTCACAAAGTGCTGCGCCTGCCACGAAATCTGAACATCGAGGTTCACAAAGTGCTGCGCCTGCCACGAAATCTGCAAACGAGCCACATGTCCAAAAGTCACGATTCACTGCACCTGCCACGAAATCTGAGCTCCTCGACGATCACCACCATGTCAAAAGTGCTACGCCTGCCACGAAATCTGCACTTGGAACTAAAACCGCTCTGATCCCTTGCACCTGTCACGAAAGGTCGACTTGAGACCACCAAAACACAAGGCTTCCCTTGCGCCTGCCAGGGAAAGTGACCACCATGTGTGAAAATGCACACGGCGCCACAACGAGAGCACAGTCGTATGAAAACTGGACTTACGCAGCAAGTTGAAGGCAAGCTGTTTTGCCGCGCGCTTGAGCCATCGGTTGACGGCGGTCGAATGCTGGAACCTTGCTGTTTCTCATGTTTTCCCAACTTCTCAAAACTAACCTGAAAGTGACCTGAGCGCATCAAAAGCTCAAGCTGGTCACACTTCATCCGCTTGGTGAGACCATCGGCAGCCATGGTGGCAGCGTCAACCCACGCCACCTTGTTCGTCCCGGCTGACGGAGGCGCGTCGGCATAGGTGGGGTTGCCAAGTACTTCCTCCTTCAGGTCACGCCACACGTCTTGCCGCAATGCCGTGAGGTCTATTGCCAGCCTCTTGTCCGTGACTTCGCTCATGCCAGGCTGCAGCAAGTGGTCGTAGAGACTTCTGCAGTCCGTGAGCCAGCCTATGGTCATGGCGTCACAGGCCTTCACATAGCGCTCCTTTCCCTTGAGCTCTGCTTCTTCTGCTCCAAGCTGAAGGGAAAGCGTCTCGGCCTGCATGGTGCTCCTGCAGACCCTTTTGATCGTCGTCGAGGTCCAAGCGAGGAGCGAGACTGTGCCATCACCTTTCTGCGTGTAGTCACGTGGGGCAAGGGCAAAAATCCGGCCAGACTGTGATCGATTTCCTCCGAGCCTTCCTCCACCAAGATCGGTGAAGCTTGCAGCATGGCTCGCGTCCGTTACTGACAGGATGATGCTGTCGTTGACCTTTGGGCCCTTGCAGGAGTAGAAAATTCCACGGTCCCTTGTCTTGACAGCAAAGTCGAGGAGGCGATTGGCTTCAACCAAATCTTGGACTCGGGCCTTTGCTTGAACCGTCTGCAATCGGTTCACCTCAAAGCAAAGATCTTCTTGCCAACCAACTGATGCTTCCCAGGACAGAACGGAGCTGGGAAATCTCACTTTCAGTTGCAGGCTCTGCGTCGTGCCCGGCGTTGTGGCTCGATGTAAACACGTTTCACCCTATCCATGACATTGGGGCTTGTGACACTAATTCCCGAGGGGCTTTGCTTGATGGTCCTCCCACAAAACTTGAAGTCTTGCCCTTCAATCTTACCAAAACGAGAATGCTTCTGAACTTCCTCCATAGCGGCATCCATCGCTGCGTTTCCGGACCACAGGATGTCGTCCACATGGGTCCCGAGGACGCCGTGGATCTCATTGGCAGGTCCAGGCAAGTAGTAGGCCGCTGATTCAGAAGGAATCTCCTTCAGGCCACAGGACAGGAGGATCTCATGGAGGCGCTTCCGAAAGGATCTTGGAGCATCAGAGGTGCCGTAGACACTCTTCTCGGCCACCATCAAAGAGCCCTCTTCAACCGAATCATCAGGAACTCCTCCAGCGGGAAGTGACAAAGCCAGAGTGCGGTTGATCTTCACTCCTTGCAAAAATGCTGCTGAGATGTCTCCCGCCTTGAGAGGTAGCCCAGTAGATGCAGCATGGGCAAAGATCAAATTGATCATCAGCTGAGAGCAGGTTGGTGAATCGGCTCTGAGCTTCTCATTCTGCTTCTCCAAATCGCCTCGGACCACAAGTCTCGATTTGAATTGAGACTCTTCTCCTTCTTCAGCTTTGTCGGCGTCGACCCACCGAGTTGGCACAATCTTCACGCGCGGGTTCTTCTTCTTGAACTCCGGGACGTCGTTTGGTCTGACGATTGAGACTGCGGAGAAGTCTTTCCAGTTGGTCCATTCCTTGAGGCGGCTCTTGAGAAGTCCCTGCCAAGTGTGGTCATCGCAGGTGTTGATTTTGATCTCACGATGGGCGCCAACCTGGCGTTTCGGCTTCTTGCATCTCTTGGCCAAAAGCCCTTGAATCGCCTTTCTTCTGTCATCTGGGCGAGTAGGCCTCGGTCATCAAATGGCACTGGAGTGGAAGCAGCTGAGTCACGGTGAGGTGACCTTGACCGATCTGGACGCTCAAGTCCTGGCGGTGGTGGAAATGGAAGTTCCGGGCGTAGGATAGCCATCAAGGCGGTCAACTGACCTGTTGAGGGCCGTTTGCAGTGTGCCCGATGACATAGGTGCCATGGGTGGTGTCGGTGGAACCGTTGGTGCATGAGAGGCTTCAGACTCAGGCTGAGCTGAATGATCTCGTTCCATGGGAGCTATTGGTGTCTCCACCTCAAGATCTTGTACTTCTTCATATGGAGTTTCTTCTTCATCCGGCAGTTGTCCCTCAGTGGATTGTTCTGCACCACCTGCTTCATGTGGTATCTCCACATATCCCGGCTGTATATGCTCAGCATCTTCTCCAGCCAACGAAGAGATCACCAGGTCCTCGGAGAAGGGATGTGGATCAGTGTCCATGTTGCCGGAGTCCTCAAAGTCTTGGCGACGGCACTTCCGTGAGGGTCGTAACTCAAGCAGCTGTTTGGCGAGGACTTCTGATCTTGTAGCTGGGCAAACCTGACTTTCAGCGACTATCATTGGTATTCCCCCATGGACCACCCAAAGATTGCCACGACCAGAGAGGCCAATGATGCGGCCTGGTCCAAACCATTTGCCCTTGCGGTGGAAGCTGATGAGGTCTTCAATATGGTAAGGTCCACGGAGAGG